AGCTATAGTAGCGTGTGTGTGTGTGTGTTGCGTGTAGAGTGTTGCATGTGGGACATCCAGGGTGATCCAGAGTGCGAACAGTGAGTTGTGTGGGCGCTCGGTCGCCATAGCCAATAGAAGAGGAGTCCTACCTGGTTACGATATCTTGAGTACTGTGTGGGCGCAAGTCGCCAGTTTGCTGTTTCGCTGTTTGCATGCATGACAAGTGTGAAGAAGTTGAGTCTGATTGCAACACGCTGTCTGTCTCCAACCAGTTAATACTTCTCTTTCCTTTGACTGATCTGGATGTTTCTTTTTTTTTTTTTAACTCTGCTTGCCTGTCCTCTTGCGCAGGGAGCACTGGAGTATGTACTTGTCAGATGCCTAGACGATGCTTGGATCCCCAACGCTACTTCAGACCCGTTAATTATACCTTATGTCGTTTCTGCAATCTGACGTGGCAATCAGCCACTACCACCAGTGTTCCCCACCTTTAGTACCTCCTACAGATGTCTGATTAGAGGGGTAGAAGAGAGGACCAACAGGACTCTGACCACTACTATCCTGACTTCCAGACCAGACCTTGGGTAGACAGCAGCAGCAGCGACCACCAGAGAGGGAAGGAAGTAGAGTACACACACACGCAGCCAGGTAAGGGGGTATGGAGGTTCTTCTCTCTTTGAAGCGGCCGTCGATGAAACTCCTCGTCGCTCCGCACTCCAACGCTCCAGGTAAGTAATCTTCTGCCCCTTCCTCTTTGGCTTACTTCTCCCCCAAGATCTCAATCCACCTCTCTCACAACTCTACCATCGCCAGCATCATCATCAAGCCAGCGTTCCCTTTTTCTTATCGGCGACCTTGCTCATGCCAGCGCAGTGAGTGCAACAAGCTTCCGCTCCGATACCAAGTTTGCAAGGGTCCTGACTGACCACGTCTTGCCAGAGTGTTTCACAATGCATGCAACATCACCGTTCACACAGGTTATGACTCGACACACTCAACGCAGAATGGGGATGCGATGAGAACCAAGTCGCGCAGCTTAAATTATCCCAAACACATTACAAAGAGTATCTCGAGTTCATGAATCCAAACGCTCAACAACATGATATGTCCCAGCGCCACCTCTCGGCAACTTGTCAAGCGCAGAACAGGTAAGTAGTCACCATAGCCAACACGTCAACCTGTCTTTTACTTCTCTCTCTCTCTTCCCTCAAGATCTCAGTCTCAGTCCTCTTCTCTCATCATGCATGCTCACTCCTACTTCGAGAATCTGCTCTGAATGCTACTCACTATAGACTAACAACTAACCCTCTAACTATGCTATCTAGCTGGTGCAGCTATGGCTGCCTGTTGCTAGCCAGCGCCCAGCTTCTTCCTCCTTCCAGTGCAGCTTCTCCTCCAGCGCTAACCCAGCTAGCCAGCGCACAAGTGCTCGCAGCACTTCCACGCTGATAATGCCAGTGGGGATCCGATGTCAAGGGAGGCTGGCCTATTGCTTTATACTGCTGGCCTCCCCTGGCGAGGTCTGTATTGGTCTGCATTGGCACTTTGGACCCCCTTCAGTCCCAGACCCAAGCATATGTGTGTGTGTCCCAGTAATTTCCCCTCAGGGTCTACTGCTGCTGCGGCCATCTGGCCTGGATTTCGGACTAGGTGTCTGAACCTAGACCCCCTATTAGACTTAGACAGAACTGGGAACCTGCCCTTTGACTTCCTTTTGGACAGACACACACTCTACACGAACAGACACTCATACTGCACGAACAGACACATATACTGCACGTACAGACACACCCCTTGCCTGAACAGACATGACCTACACACCCTCTGGACGAACAGATGTGGCCCCCAAATCTAAATGTTGCGACCATTCGTTCAGGGGCACAACTGTGACCTTTGACATTGGCTTTTGTTTTAGTTAGGATGTGTCTTTTGACCCAGAGAACATGTCCTTTGATCTGCTTTCATGAGTTGGGCCCTGGCGAGTGACCCCTCTGTGCTGCATTTGCCGAACAGGGTCTGAATCGGGTAAAGGCCCTTTTATCATCAACAAGTGTGTCATCAATAACCGTAGTCGGCTGGATTGGATTGTTCCCGGAGGGCTGAACGGCGGGAAGGGGGTGGGGGGATCTCTATCCTGCAGGGGCATCGCAAGGTGGGGGGTGAATGTCTCAAAGAGGGTAGGGGCGGAGTAGGGGGTTGCCTTATTCTGGTGCAGGGACTGTGTGTGGGTCAACATCAGTCCCTGCGGAGGCGGAAATGGGCAAGGGGCGGGGGGGCATGCTTTAGGTGGGAACTGCGTGCTCCTGGGGAAAGGGGGGGAGAGAATTGGTCGTATATTGGGGCCGAGGGAGAGTGGGTGACTCTCCTCGGCGGAGGAAGTGTAGGGCTGAGGGAGAAGGGGTAGGGGGAGGGAGGGGCGATCTCTCTCGAGGAAATTTATCATCCAGTTTACAATCGCTTTCCATTTGGTTGCCTCTCGAGGAGGTTGTAGGAATAGGTGTTATCTGGCAAGCCATCTGTGATCCTGAGAGGGGTGGTTGAAAAGTCGGTGGAGACTGATGCTGGAGCAACGCTGGCCGGAGCCAGAGCCCGGTGGCGCAACTCTGTGACCTAGCTTAGTGGGGGCATGAGGCCTGGTAGAGAGCTCTGGGGGGCTGTTTGCGGGGCCAGTCCCAGTGGTCATCGGGGGTCGTAACTGGAGCAATGTTGGCCGGTGCTGGAGCAAGGTGGTGCAACTTTGTAACCTAACCTGATGGGAGCATGAGGCCTGGAAGAGCTTCGGTTCGTGCTGAAACTATCCATGCTGGTGGTGGTCGTAGGTGGATTGAATAGGTTTCACCTATCCGAGTCGTGATGGGGAGGCTTTTTGACACACATATTCTATTGACTTGGTAGAGTCTGAAGGAAAAAAGTCGGTTGTTCTTATGAATGTCTTAGGACTTTAGGGTTTCTTAGCAATCCATCTTAGGCGGTTTCGATGCTGTTATACTCAGTGATTTGTGGCCGTTCGATGCCAAAACGACGCTGAACTGTGCTGGCGTGTTGCCCTGTAACCTGCTGATGCAGGAGCGTGAGGCCTGGTGGAGAGATCTGGGGATGCTTTGGGGTGGGCATCCCAAGGGACGACCAAGGGTTGCTGCTGGGATGACGCTGGTCGGAGCTGGGGCGAGTTGTGTTGCCCTGTAACCCAATAGGGTGGGGGCGTGAGGCCTGGAAGAGCTTCGCGGGGTGTTAGACAGTGTTGGGAAGTCTTAGAAGGGTTTGTCAGGGAACCTGAGGGTAGTGAGCATTCGTAGGCATGAGTAATTCCCTAATAGGGCATTGGATACTCAGGATCCTCCCCACGTTTCTGAATCTCATCGTGTTCACAGATTGTTCTCAGCCGAAGCCAGGTAATGGCCCCGGTATCTCAAATGACCTCAAACGACCTCAGATGTTCTCAATGATCTGTATAATTCGATATGGGACGCTGGGCCCGGTTCCCAGCACGTGCTGCTCCCCACGAATAGACTGGAGCATTTTTTCAAGGAAAAAAAAAAGAGAAAAAAAAAAAAAGATTTTCACTACCTGACAATCATTGGCAGTCTGAAAGTTTGAAATTTTTTTCTCTCATTGATAATTTCGCACTTCAAGGGAGGTTGGGAGACCTACTGAACTTGCAAAACTCGGGATTTTTATTTTTCTCAAAATTTTTTTGCAAAGTTCAAACTTTTCTTTTTTGATTAGTGGCTCCTTATCTGGGTGATTTATCCCCACCCACCCCTCCCCACCTATGTTGTTGCCCCCTTTTGCCTTACCTTCTCTGTCTTCGGGTACCCCCTGCAGCGGGATTGGTAAGTTGCCACATCAGCAGACCACGTCAGCAGGCCACATCAGCAGGCCACATCAGCAGACCACGTCAGCAGGCCACGTCAGCAGGCCACGTCAGCAGTCCATGTCGGCAGGACATGTCAGCAGACCACGTCAGCCGACAGCAGTGCCACGTCAGCAGCAGGGAGTACCACGTCAACAGGCCCCCGGCCTGGTCTATGCTTTTGCGCCCGCAAACAGCCGTCACGGACCAGAAGTTCGGGGAAACGGACGAGGCCTATCAGGCCCGGATGGTGCTTCTGATTATCGAAGCTAAGCAACGGTTGGATGCAGTAGCAGCCGCAGCAAAGCAGAAAGCAGAAGGCACGTCTGTTGGCAATCGAACAGCAGCGACAGCACAACGAGGCAGCAGCAAAGGCTGCCGATGAAGAACGAATTCAACGACGCGAGAAGATATTCAGCGGAGAGCAAGCTTTGCTCACAATGGCAGCGGATTGGCGGGCCGAGGCCGAGAATGGCAAGATGGAAGAGAGTGAAAACAAGATCGCTCTACTCCTCTCCCATCTCACGGACCTCCTGGCAACATGCATTACACAGCAGGAGGACATCCATAGCCTCGACGACGCGTTGACTCAAGTCCACAGCCGCCTCCGGCAGCTGGAACAGCGACCCGTCGCCGCTCCCGATGCCAGCTCTTCCAAAACCTCCGATCGCCTCGAGGCATTGGAGATTGACGTCGGCTCCCTCAAGGACGACGTGCAGTTACGGCAAACCGCAATGCAACAGTTGGAGCAGCGGATCTGTACTACCGCCAACCACTCGAGCTCGAAACCGCGCGAGACAGCTCCAAAGTTCGATGGGCAGGAGATCTTCTGCGACTCAACGAAGACAGACCCGATTCCATGGTTCCGCAAGTCCGAGCTCACGTTGCAGCTACACTACGTCAGCGAACACAAGCATCACACGTACTTGTACTCCCGCTCGGGGGGCACGTGCCAAGCATGGTTGGAGGACAATCTCTTGTCCAAGTACGGAGTGGTGGCTGCTGACTTGCATACCAAGATCGGCTGGGATGATCTAAAGGCGGCGTGGCATAAGCAGTTCCAAGTAGAGCAGCCGAAGATCAAGGCAATGGACAAGCTGATGGTCTTCGAACAAGGCACGCTGCCGAGTGTTGACTGGATTGCCGAGTACCAACGCTTGACATTTGTCCCAGACATTCATCTCAAGGTCGTGTCCGGCGTTGGGCAATGCCTTGACTCACGTCGAGGACACCCTGACAACACCGGCAGAACTCTTCGACAAGGCCGCGCAGATTATTGTCACGAACAAAGAGGCCAAGAATCTCCAGCGTTCATTTGCGCAAGGCCTGAGCAGAGATCAACATCGACCGAAAGTGGCTGTAGTCGTGGCGGCAACGCCAAACAACCAAACTAGCGAGGCCGTGTCTGCCAATGAAAGGGACAGACTCGCAGCCGCCCGGGAAGGTGGCCGCCCCGGCAAAGGCCGAGGACGAGGCAAGGCGAAGACAAACACCGCATCTAGCCCCGGGCCCGACGCAGCAGCTCCAGCCCCATGGTCCTATTACGGTCTCCCCGAGCAAGCATTCAAGGCACTCACGAGATTCCGCTATCGTCTGTGGTGTAAAAACGATCTCCACGACACAATAGCCTGTCAGTCGAAAGGCAAGGGCAAATCGGAAAACTGAGCACCGCCGGGAGTGACTCGACGACACTCTCGACGCCTTCGGAACCGGTCACTTCGCGGGTGACCGCCCTTCGTTCCGAGGCACATGCGGAAGTCGATAGTCCTCTTCTTTATTCTTCTGAGGACTATGCTGCCCGACTCGTTCCTACGCTGGGTACTCATGCTCAAGGACAAGACGTGTGTGCGGCATCTTCTCCTTCCGGCAGAGACGACTTATCGTCTTCAAGTGGTTCTTCACGGGATTCGGCGCGAATTCAACATAGAGGTATTGGACCAGCTCACGTCCGAGGATTTCGCATGGCTTCCTCTCTCGACCACGGGCCGCTTCCTGGGACCACAATGCGCAGCACTATGCGCTCATCTTCACACGTGCTTATCCTTCTATGCACCACCAACTTCGCCGACGGATGACGAAGTCGCGGTGGGGCACATCCTTGTTAATGTTACCAAGGTGGCCCGCGAGTTTCGCAATCAGCGGTACGATGACAACAACGCACCGCTCCTCTATGTCTGCATCCAAGTTGGGCAAGCGTCCTGAAGCGCTTTGCTGGATAGCGACGCGTCTTGCAATTTTATGAGCCAAGCCTTTATGCAAAAGGCTGGCCTTGGCGCACAAGTTTGAAGGAAGGCAAACCTGACGGCGATCGAGTTGGCGGTCGGAAGGACGCAGCACCTTATCGAACGCTACATCGAGGCCGTACTGGTGTATTTCGCACCTCATGCATGCGAACCGGTGACATTTGACATTTTGGACACGGAATTCGAGATTATTTTGGGAATGCCTTGGCTTGCAAGTGCGGATCACACGATCAACTTCCACCGGCGGACTCTTACCGTTTGTGACGCCTTAGGCGCCGAAGTGCCGTGTACTATTCCTCTTCCGCACCCTTCGATTCCATACCAAGTGGTGAAGGCCAAGTCATTCCGCGCTACTTATGCTTACGAGCAGCCCGACGAAATCGGCCTATGTTTCCTACGTACCGTCGCGATAGCCGACTCTTCACCCACAGACTTGTCTTCGGACCCCCTTGTGGTGCGGTTGCTTGACGAGTTCACCGACATCTTCGAGTCACCTACCGGTGTGGTGCCGAATCGGGCTCCCACGAGATCATTCTTGAGGCCGGTGCCGTGCCACTGAAAAGTTGCATTTATCGCATGAGCGAGGAGGAGCTTACGGTCCTCCGCGCGCAACTCGATGATTTGTTGGACAAGGGCTGGATCCGCCCTAGTAGCTCTCCATACGGAGCGTCAGTTCTCTTCGTACGAAAGAAGAACAAGGATCTACGATTGTGCATCGACTACCGCAAGCTCATCGCGCAAACCGTCAAGAATGTGGGGCCTCTTCCTCGCATCGACAATCTTCTTCAGCGATTGGGCGGCACAAAGTATTTTTCTAAGTTGGATTTGAAGTCGGGATATCATAAAATCTCGATCCGACCGAACGATCGTTACAATCTGCGTTCAAGACGCGATATGGGCATTTTGAGTGGGTGGTTATGCCTTTTGGCCTCACCAACGCCCCGACGACCTTCCAAGCGGCAATGACCAACGAGTTTCGTGCGATGTTGGACCGGTTCGTGCTGGTTAACTTAGACGACATTCTCGTCTATAGCATTGGAGGATCATCTTGAGCACCTTCGACGAGTGTTGGAGACGCTCCGCCACGCCAAGTAAAAGTCCAACCGCAACAAGTGCGAATTTGTCCGGCAAGAGTTGGAATACTTGGGCCATTTTGTCACGACGGAGGACATTAGTCCGCTATCGGACAAGATTCAAGCCATCCAAGAGTGGCCGGAGCCACGAAACGTCCTGGATGTTCGTTCGTTCCTCGGCCTCGCCGGCTACTACCAGTGTTTTATCAAGGGCTACTTGAAGATAGCGGCCCACTTGACCAAGCTTCAACGCGAGGATCGACCGTTTGACTTCGAAGAGGATGCGCGGGAATCATTTTTGGCTCTCAAAGCCGCGTTATTATCTACGGAGGTCTTGCGCATATATGACCTGCTTTCGCCTACGTGCGTCACTATGCATGCGTCCAACTATGGCATTGGTGTCGTCCTCGAGCAACGCGATGGCGTGGACTGGCACCAGGTCGAGTATTTCAGCAAGAAAGTGTCCGTCGTGCACTCCATTGACGATGCACGCAAGAAGGAGCTCCTCGCCTTCGTCCACTCGCTCAAGCGGTGGCGACACTTCCTCCTTGGTCGAAGCCAATTCCGATGGGTAACGAACAACAATCCGTTGGTCTTTCACAAGACCCGAGACATCGTCAATAGCACCATCGCTCGATGGATGGCTTTCATCGACCAGTTCGACTTCTTTCCCGATCACATTCCGAAGAAGTCGAACTGTTTTGCCGATGCTCTTTCACGGCGTCCGGATCATTGTACCGCGGTCTATTCAACCTTCGAGATCGACAACGACCTGTGGGACAGCTTCATCCGCGGCTACCAAGACGACCCCAAGTTTCGCGACAAGTACGTGAATTGCTCCTCTCCTAATCCGACGCCTTCTCACTACCGGATCCAAGAGGGGTACTTGCTTATCCACACACGGGGGAAGGACCTTCTCTGAGTACCGAGTGACCCTCACTTGCGTACAAGGCTTCTTGGCGAGTTCCACGATGCTCCCGCCACCGGACACTTTAGCGTCAATTGTACGATTGGCCGACTTCGCGACAACGTCACACGCTATTGCGAGTCATGCGAGGTTTGCCGACACTACAAATCTCGCAACCATCGTCCATACGGCGAGCTGCGACCATTACTGGTCCCCTTGCGGCGAAGGGAAGCGATTGCCATGGACATTACCGGCCCATTCCCCAAACACAAGACCGGAGTGGATGGGATTCTCATGGTGGTCGACCAACTAACCAAGTTCGCCATGTTTTTGCCTTGCCGCTATCATGCTAAGGCACCGAAGTTGGCCGAGGTTCTTTACGCCGGTTGGATTCGAACCAAGGGTTACCCCAAGGAAATCGTTTGCGACCGCGACACTCGGCTCATGTCCGATTTTTGGTTGGCGCTCGTCAAACGATGGGGCTCATCTCTCAAGCCAAGTTCGGCTCGCCACCCCCAAACTGATGGCCAAACGGAGAGGGCGCATCAGACCGCACAAGTTCTCCTTCGCACTCTCATCCGCCCTGATCACAAGGATTGGGTTGAGGGGCTGCCGGATGTCGAGTTGGTCTACAACTCGTCCATGGGCTTGGGGTGGGGCAGAGATGGGGGGTGGTGGGAAATGCTGTCCTGTGGGGTTTGGAGGTTTGAATTACCATCTGTTAAAAAAGGTCAGTGTTAAGCTGCTGTTCCTGACTATGCTGTTGGGGTGGTTTCGTTATGGGGCAAGTCTACTCACAACTGATTTCTGAGTTTTGCCCACAGACCGAATGCCTTGCTGAGTTTCCCGCCTGCTACTAAGTCTGTGTGTGCACGCTTGCTGGACTGCATGTCTGTCTGAGTGCTGGTTGGCTTGAGTGTGTGTGTGGCCGTGCCTGTCTGAGTGCTGGTTGGCTTGAATGTGTGTGCCCCGCAAGGGCACTTGCTCGTTCATTGGGCCCTCAGGGCCGGTTCTTACCTGGGGCCATGACATTGAGAGATTGCAGCCAGAAAAACACTCAAGTAGCGGGTAGGCGGGTACCGCACCCTGAAAGGGTAGATGTGCGGGTACTGGAGGCCGAGCAGAAGAAGACAAAAGTGGCATTTTTAGAGGCCCAGTTGTTGTAGGTTAGGTCTAGGCGGATACCAGTCCAACCAGTCTGGGTCTAGGGCCTGAAGGGGCAATATCAGAGTCTGCAATGATGTTTCCCTCCGAAAGGGAGGAGGTACCGGTTGCTTGGAAGGCCGAGCGGCCTGGAAGTCACCGCCCGAAGAGGCAAGCAGGCCGCTATATCTCCCAGCCGGGCAAAGAGCCCAGCCTCTTTTTCGGTGTGCAAGTTTGGCGACACACTGGTTGGAGCACCGGTTGGAGCAGCGCTATCCAAGAGCAGCGCTGCTGGGGAAGGAGAAGGACACGGAGGAGGAAGAAGGACAGGAAGAGGGGAGGAGCGCCAAGGGCACTCACCTGGCTATGGTGGCAGCCATCTTCATCACCTTGGTGGGCGCTGCAGCAGGGAGTCCCCAACTGGGGAGAGCTACACCAAGAAGCTTCGAGGCAGGGTTGGGCATGGCGGCCTGAGCTAGAGCAGCCATAGCTGCTTTGGGTTGTCCTTTGGGCATCAGGGCAAGGCCTAGTGGTCCGCCATAGCCTCGGCCTATTAGAGTGAAGAGTGGGAGGGGTGGCCATGGCTATGGTGGACCTCAAGTGATACCTGCAGTAGAAGAGGAACTCGGACATTGATTCTGGATCAGACATTCAACGTTGTATTATTATTTCTTGTATGAATAAGAGAAGGGGAGATAAGGAGGAGGAGATTGTTGGGCGAAGAAAAAGAGCCTTGTCATTTGTCTATGCTGGCGTACATCATCTTCTTCTTCTTTCTTACTTCTTCTTCTTCTTCTTCTAATCCTCTCTCTCCTCTCCAGTTCATTCATTTCTTTCTGCAATTGGGTGGCATTGTACTATCTGATGGATGTGTATCTCGAAATTGGCCAGGATCATAACATAGTTGTGGTTATCTGTAGTGTGTTAGTAGGAGTTGATCCGGATGCTGACTGAGTCTGGTGTGTTAATCATTGGTTCAGAATCTGGAAAGTTGGACTGGGTTGGATCATTCCACATTTTTAAGATTAGGCTCTGACCTTTGATGATTGCTATCTTGCCCTTGTCCAAATAGTTCTCCTCGAATTTAGTTTGGAGTTCTTTGGCTTTGGGCTCGTTTGCGCCATAGTACCTAGTATTCTGTTTCTACCTGACGTCTGAGGATACTCCATGCTTCTTGCACATGCATTGGTTGTTTTTAGAATACTCCATGGTTCTTGCACATGCATTGTTTCTTGGCATTTTTTCCTCCAGACGGACCATATTGTTGCTTTGTGCAAGATTTGGAATAGGTTGTTTTTAAGGGGGGGTCCAGTCTTCGGGTGTTGTGAAGCCTAATAGTACGAGGGTAGGATTTGCTGTGAAACTAGTGCCTGCATTCACACTCCGATTATTCACACTTGTCTTGCATGCAAACAGCGATACAGCAACTGGCGACATGCGCCCTGACAGTACTTAAGATATCGTAACCAGATATGAGTTCTCTTCAACTGGCTATGGCGACTGGGCGCCCACACAACTCACTGTTCGCACTCTGGATCACCCTGGATGTCCCATACGCAACACACACACACGCTATGCTACAGCTATGGCAGCGCTAGCTGCCACTACCTATCGCTACACTACACTTCTTTGCCCACTTTGTCTTCGGGCACACTGCAGACCTCCTCGCACAAGCTGCTAAGGCAGCGCTTCCGCATGGCATCCGCAGGAATGAATGAATGGCTGGWCGCAGCCTCTTGATTTATACTTCTGCGCTGCGTTGGTCTGCCCTGTATCCCTGGCCCATGGTGCACACAGTCCCCCCCGTGGTACTTGCTGGACCGGACTGGTACTTTCTAGACTCTCCCATGACTGCATGGCGACTACCCTACGACGCAGTGCAGTTGCACTGGGTTCCTACTATTTGCCCTTGCCACTTGTCCTCGTCTCCAACATGGGCTTGCTTTAGTCACACCACTTGCCCACTTGCCTTCACCACTTGACCACTTGCCAACCTTCTAGAAGGACTGCAGCTAGCCTTCTAATCTACAGGTCTACGGATCGAATCCTGGCTACCTATAGACCTACGACAGACCTACCTACCACTGGCGGTTCTACAGGTCGCAGGTTCAACTCTTCGAGTTGACGCAGGTATTGTACACAGGTAAGTTGGGGAACTAGGGATCGAGCCCTGGGATCTGCCTCAGCTACCACGAATTGGTGAATACCGTTTCATGCCAGTTATTGAGCACCAAATCTGTGTGATCCTGTTCCATTTGGATTTAATCTTGGGGCATAGGAGGAAGCAGTGAAACGGGTCTTCTATCTGTCCGTCTATGCAATTAGCACATAGTTCATTTCAGGGGTTTCTATCTTCTTGTCTTATTCTAATGTTCAGCCACATAATTCATTTCAGGGGTTTCCATCTTCTTTTCTTCTTCTAATGTTCAGCCATTGGTTGAGTGGGATTGCTAAGTACAGTATTAGCCATTGTAAGCTTTTGAACTTGGGGGGATGTAGTGTCACTATTTGGTTCCAGGGAGTTTCTTTTAAGATCTCTGGGTCAATCTGAAGGTGTCTATTCCAACGTTCTTAGCTTAGAGCCTAGTCTGGTGGTGTAGCTGATCGGGTTCATTCTACGGTCAATTCTTGTGGTGTTTTGGTTTAGACTCCATGCCCATTCTGCTGGGTCAATTTCTAAGTCTTCTATGGTAGTTTGGGGGTGGAATAAGGTGCGGTCTTCATTTTCTATTACTCTGAGTTTTCTTAGATTGCCTTCGCTGACTGTGACCTGCGCTACTGACTCGTTGTTTAGCTTGGTGTAATCTGTGCCTGACTCTTCTACATTGTGCATGGAGAAAGTGAGCCAGTTGCTTCTACCGACTTTCATCTTTATAAATGAAGGGCCTGTTTGTCCTTTTTAAGAGTTGATGTCCATTCCGCCGGAATGGCATTTATTATGAGCTGGAGGTTTTGGGATAGGTTGTGGTTTCCTTCGAGTTTTTCTCCGAGTTGTCTGGCCGAGAGCCAGTCTTTTTTAGGGTCATCCCAGATGTGTTTGATTTGCCAGATGCCTCTCTCTAACCAAGTGCCCCATCTTGTGTCCTTTGAGGTGAGGGTGAAGGGTGTGTTTTGCTGGTTATCCAAGGGTTGCAGAAGAGGGGTTGTCTAAGTATTTCTTCTTTCTTTATTGGTTTCCTTACTTTCGCCGGGAAGATCTCTCTCCATGCTTTCAATAGCCCCTTCCAAAAGTTTAGCCTTGGTTCGTTTTGGATCTTGTTTTTTATGGTCCATGATTTACTTAGTATCCAGAACGTGCCTTCCATGTTTTCTGGTACCTTGTAGATTGGAATCTGTTGCAACCCTTCTAGAGCCAGCGCCCTCCACGGTAGGTTAGGGCTTGTTAGTAGCTTTATAATCCACTTGGTCCGGAGGGCTTGCTATTATCCAGATTACAATGTTTCGCAGAGAACCTCCAAGATCATATGTAAGCTGCATTAGTGGAGATTTCACGACGGCCTGTCGGAACGTTCTGTAAGTTGAAGAGGCTGGAGATATCACAAGTGAGAATGCTGACACGAGTAACAAAAATCGGGTGAACAACATGCTCGCCAAAACGACCATGGCGTCTGTTCAGGGGAAGGCAGTAGAAACACTTGTCAAGGTCCAAATCTACAGAAAGGTCAGAGAGGATCCCAAACTGCATCATTCACTGCCTGCAAGTGCTTCTCTTGAGCCACACAGGTGATGTCAAAGCAACCAGACTGACATTTTTGGTGGTGAGCTGGGGTCTTGGCACATGGAATCGTAGTTCTCAAACACTTGCTTCATCACTTTGTCAGGTCGTCATTCATTTTCCCAAAAAGAACAAAAGAAAAACTTCAAAAAAGAGCTCGCTTCTCAGTTTTCATAGAGTCCCCATTTGGCAAATCACTTTGTGTGAAAACAAACTTGTGTGTGAACA